GCAGAAGCAGCTTACTCAATTAGGCATCCTGAATGGAGGGGAAGAGGAAAGGCCTGAGCATCTAATACATCTGGGAATGCAACAGCAGAGATGGGAAATGTTCTGTAATTAAACTCTGCTGGCCTGTCCTGCTTGGGGAGTGTGAGACCCATCAGCAGTGACCTCTTCCAATCAACTTAATTGGCCCAATCTCGCCAGAAAAAGCAGAAGAATTGGTTTAGTGCCTCATGGAAATAACTTAGCTCCTGACTATTTATGGCCACTGAACTCCAGGATGAGGGCCTTGACTCTGAGCCAGGAGTTGACAGCGTGTGCTAACTTCTGGGAGGACTGGGATGTTTCAGGGCCTCTGGCCCTCCATCCTAGTCTCAGTGGAAAGTGGCTGTGCCCAACTTGCTGCACTGGGCATGCGGCATTTCACAACTCTGAGCCCCGGGGTTCCTCTCTCCAGGCAGGCTGGGGCCTGCCAAGGACTTATCGTCTAGAAAAACACAGACCTTGACAGTAACACAGGGTGGCTGGACTCTGCTTCCCTCTTACACAAATGGTGGCTATGCCAAGGACAATTACTACGCTCTGTGTTTTCAAAGTCATATTTGTTTTGGCATTGCAGTTTGCACAGCTGATGCTAAACAAAGTTTATCTGAAAATTTATAACTGATTCCTATATTGCCTCTCTTCCTGAATGATCCACAAACTAAAATCTAACTTTGCCTGCCTCCAGTTTATGGATAAGTAGAAAACTGAGGTAAGCCATGGGAAAGCTTTATGTTATTTTATTACTATTTTTACACAGTGGGCAAGCAGTGGAGATGTAATGCCATCCAGAGGAGACAAACATCCTATTTTCCCAATGACTGACAGATGTCCACACCCGTGTCCAAACAGATTGCATCTTTGTAGATCACAGCTTTTATAACTAGTTCCTTTGAGCTTTGCTTAGTAAAGAGGAATGCATTTCTCTTCTTAGCCAGTTCCCATCAACATCGTCATTCTATAGAGAGGGGCATGGAGAATCCTAGACATCAGAAAACTGCTGTTCCAAAGTAGCAAACTAAATGCAGGCTTTTCCAGCTGAGAGTCTTCTCCCTCACCATGGTGCTCTCAGAAAATAGCAGCACTAGCTCTGCCCAGCACCAGCTATTTCTCAAAGGGATGAGCTTCCCTAAACCTCGAGACAGTAAAGCTTCGATTTCAGGAATCAAGACCGCCATTAGTTGGATCCTGTCCCACCCAGATGCCCTCACATGATCAAAAGGGGTTCCTTGTCACCTGGCCCAGGTGAACAGTGTTTGCTCCTAAAGTATAAAGCCTTCTTCCTGCTTTCACCCAGTGACTTTAAACCTCAGTGAACTCCTCCTTGCTCTCACTCCTGAAACTCACAGCTCTTCCTTTATGCATACCTTTGTTCCCTTAAGGCAAAGGTCTAAGCATCCAAGGCCAACTTCCTCCTTCCCCAGACCCACAGAATTCTTGCAAAAAACACACACACCATAGTCCTTCACAGCGGACACAATGCTATGCACATTTCTCTGTCCTGTTGGCTACTTTTCTCATAGCTCCTTTAGACCCCAGAAAGCGCATTAGACAAAAGTATGAGCGCATACTCAGTTTAACTTTAGATCTGTAGCGCAGATGCCCCAAAGACAAGCAAACTAGGAGCCCAGCCTTTCAGGGGCATCACTGGACCTTTCCCCAGGCCCATGTCTCAAGATTCATTCCGCACACAGTAAGGAGACATCTCATACTCCATCCCGAAATGGATCAAGAGCCCCCACCCCCCATCCCCACCTTCTACCTGGAAAGCATTACCTTCCAATTCCTGGCCTAGCCTGTGTTCCAGGTGAGGAGCAGTACCACCCTCCAGCTCCCTGCCCACCCACAGAAGCATCCTTCATCCTTTACCGCTATCATGGCTTTTTTACAAAACCGCAGATAATGTTTTAAGCCAGCTTCCCTTTGGCTCTCATGATCCACGAACAACTCGAGAAGGGACCTCCACAGGCACCGCACTTTTTATTCCTGGCAACACTGCAACTGTCAGCTGAGCATGGAGAAGGAATTTTTCCAAGGCAGAGTGCCACGTCCCAGCACCCACCAACAAGCTGAGCATCCAGTGGGCTCCCCACTAGTTTTCAGTAATAATCAACACGAACTGGTGGTAGGGTGTCCTCCCACTAAATAAGAGGGGCCACTGTACAGTATTAGACAATGTGCATCTCACCTCTTGGCATGCAAATGCATTGATTTACTCGGGAGTCTTGTGCACAGAGCACTTCCTGTCCCTGGACCCTGTGCCAACACAGAAGAACCCACCTCTTAAATGTACAACCCTCACTCTAAGCCTTCCCCAGACCATTCACTGGAAGGCAAAGAAGGGAAGAGGCAAAAGCCATCCTTCCTTGTGCTGCTCTCTACAAGAATGCCAGAGCCCCTGTGTCTTTATCTCCCATGTGCCTCAGAGCCCTTCCAGTCAAATCCCAGGGCTTCATGTACCCATACAGTTAACACTCCACTCTCCTCAGATAAACTCCCTTTCACATCCCTTTGGTAGTCTTTACCCACTCAGCACCCACACATGTCCACCCTTCAGCACACCCACACCCACACCCACACACACACACACACACACACACACACACAGCGCCCAGCCGCCCTCCCACACCACGCCCACCCATGTGTCTGTGCAGGCACGCACAAGCCATCTGTCTTCAGCACACTGCACGTCTCCAGCTCTGACACCCTTCACAGGCACAGATTTCTCATTAGCTACACCTATGTTCCCACAAGCTCTCATCTCCTGCTATGCACACAGATGCCCATCACACAGGCTCCCCGCCCCTCCAGGGCCAGCCGAGCTGGAGGAAGCTCCACCTCCAGCTGTGCCTCCCACCCACAACTCCCTCTCTCACTGAGACTTGAGAAAGCCCTCCCAGTCTCTGGCCACCCAAGGATCAGTCTCCCTTCTTGGGAAATCAGACCCGAGTCGCACAGATTCAGTCTTTTCAAGGCCGGCTTCAACACAGTCCGCAGCAAAGGGCAATCCCATTTGCTCTCGCTGAGGCGAACGCCGGGAAACTTTCTTCTGTCCTCCAATACCGCCAGGTACAGCAGCCCGCTTTTTCTCTTTCTACTCTGTCCCAACGCTACACTCGGGTCGGTCTGGGCTTAAGGCGGAGAGAGTTGGGTTTTATTTTCTAGATTCCACCTCTCAAGTTTCTTTGAGCAACGTGTCAGGATCAAGGGAGGCGAGTAAACTGGCAAAGTTCGTGCTATTTAGAAAATCGACTGTAAAGCTCCCGGGTGCAACTCCCCCCCCCCCCCCCCTTCCTCCACCCTGACCATTAGGGTAGCGTGCTTAGGTATTTCCTCGCCCTCCGGCTGGTAGTGGAAAGGCATCCCTTTACTGAAAAGCAGGTTTGCCAGCACACTCCGTAACCTGCAGAATTTCCAACATCAAGACTCGGCGAGTAACACCCACCCTGGCAGCCTCCCTCCTCCTCCCCACCCTCCCCCAGCAGGTCCCCGCCCCCAACCTCTTCACACTCATAAACAAGTCCCGGCTCAGGGGCTCCAGCGATCCAGCTAGCAGCCCGCGCTGCCCGGGACCGCGTCAGCCTCCACTCTGACTCTCAACCTGCTAGCCGCCGGCCGCCAGAGGTCGGGGCCAATCTAGTGGGTGCTTCCCCGACCCGGAAAACGCGAACCTTGATTCCAATTCCCACCTGCGACCTGACTAAACAACTGTGTCCACACCATTCGGTGCTGGGGTCCCAAGGAGGCGCATCTAACGCAAAATTGCGCAAAGCAGTAGCGCCTCTTGGATGCACACCCACTCACGCCCGCCCGAAAGCGACAAGCAGAGCGGTCCTCCCCCCCCCCCCCACCCCCCCCCCCCCCCCCCCCATTTCCGCACCTTCAGTTCCCAAGCGAGCCAAATTGCCTTAGAAGTACCCACCACGGTTCAGAGCCCCGTGGCAATGGAAACAATCCAGCCTGCGGTGGGTTCCTTTAACTCCGACCTAGCTCGGAGGGTCTCTGATGCTCTCGGCCTTCCCACACCACTTCTTGGGGGGGGGGAGCCTAAAACGGGCCCCGAAAAATTGCTACCAAATCCCTACGATATGCCCCGCTCTGGTGCCCACCATTTCCTGCCGGGTCCCAGACCGGCGGGCTGAGCGCTACCTCCAACATATGTGCGAAGACCCAGGCTGGGGAGCCTTTGGGTAGACGCTGGCCAGAACAGCCTGGGGCTGGGGACGTCTCAGAGGAAAAGGCCTCCGTGGTACACCATCGCAGGTACGCACCGCTGGACGAGGAGACCCAGCTCCCCCAATCTGGGAAGTAACTGTGCTGGTCCTGAGTGTTACATCCCCTCCCCCAGCCCACGCCCTGCCGGGGCTGTGCGGTGGAGCTGTCGAAAGGACCGTGCCCGGTGGCCAGCGGGGTGCAGGGCGCAAGGCGGGATTCTGGCCTCTTCCAAGCCCCGGTTTTGTCTGCTACCCCCTTTTGTTACAGGATGAGCGGGGGGTCTTCTAGGAGAACCAGATCAGAGGGTTGGAGGTGTGTACACACGAGGTGGAGGGGGGCGGCCGAATCCCTTTCCTGCCTTTTCGTGGTCCCCATTTTCCCTCGACTCCACCTCCTTCCCTCTCCAAGGCAGGTTTCTTAAACCTGATCACTTTCCCAGACTGAGGGCGGTTTCTTGGGCAGCCAGGGGACCAGAGGGAGGAGGAGGAGGTGGGGAAGCGCCGTCTCTGCGCGCGCGCCGGAGTGCAGGGGAGAAGGGTGGTGGTGATTGCGCCTAGGCCTGGGCAGATCCTAGCTCAAACTTTGGGGAAGGCACCAGACCCGGAAAGTTAGGAGCCTGTTGCGCGATGGGGGTAGGGCTCGGTGCAGAGCTGGGGCCCCCCACGCGGATCCCCAGGAAAATCTCCCCCACGCGATCCCCCACCCCCTCCGGGACCTGCCCACCCAACGTGCCCGCCACCTCCCCTTACCGTGGCAGAAGTAACCATGGCATCCGTGTGACTATTTCCAGGGACGTCGACATGAAGAGAAAGGTGGATTCGAGTTCGGTCATTCAGTCTCGCCCACCCCTGCCGCAGCCACTACCCAGCGGTGGGGGGAAAAAAAAAAACGAGAAGGAGAAAGAAAAGAGGGAAGAAAGTTGCGCCGGGCTCTCTCGCGGGGCGGTGCGCGGAGCTGCTGGGTAAGGAGAGGAGCCTTCAACTCTGAGTCCCGTGAACATAATCTGCGCGGTTATAACCAGCCAACCCGGCCAGATGGCTCCGAGCTCAGCGCCTTAACCCCTTCCGCGCCAAGCCACTCTCCCCCGAGCCCCGCCCGCAGTGACTGGCAGGCTCGCGCCCTATCACTTTGGAGTTTGGTCTAGGAACCAGCCCGGGAACCTGGTCATTTCTCCTAGTCCCCTTTAAAGGGAAACAGACAAATGGACAAACACTTTCAAGATAGCCTATTCTTCAGTACCTCCTATTTTAACTTTCCTTTTAGAGATGGGGAGGAGGAGTCAACGAAAACATTCAATATATCATTATATTTTACACATTAATATAGTTGATCTTATTCTTGAATTTTTCTTTTTGATCTTTTTTTTTTTCTTTTCCTTTTTTCATTTAAACAGACAGAAGGCCTTTTCCTGCCCCTTGGCTAAGGAGAACTCGGGTCTCAACCTTAAACTCTACCTCCAAATCTCAGACCCTTCTAGATTTGGGCCCCCCCCCCCCCCGGCTCCCCTCCCCCTCAGTAACCCCCTCACCTCCCACTCTCAACAACAGGAATCCGCCCTTGAGCAGTTGCTTTCCCTTGAACTCTCCAGCCCTGGAGACCAGCTCTTAAGGCGCAGTGCAGGCTGTCTGGGGAGGTTAAGTCACAGAGGTAAGGGGTGGGTGGGAGTCCTGAGCGACCTAGGGAGGGGTGGTTTGCGTGCGCGGCGCGTGCAAGAAAGAAAACTGGAGGCGTGAGTCCAAACGCGGCATTTCACCCCGTCTCCCAACTTCTCTAGCCCTTCTTTCCAAGGTAGGACCTGGCCTTGGAGCCGAGCACTCACTCGCCCAGCGCCCACCGCTCTGCACAAAAAAAAACAATTTGCCCAGAAGAAAAGGCAAGCAACACACCCCTTCCCGACTCCCCGAAAGTAGCGACGCTCTGTTCCGCAACCGCTAGATTCATTCCAGGAAAAAGCTCCCAGGCTGGAGGCAGAGGTCTTATGTGGAGATAATTTTAGCTATTTATTGGAGCCCACTTGTTTTGAGCTGATGCTTTCAGAATTGACAATGGTCAGTGTATCTATTTGCTCAGTCGCAGCCCTAGAGAACCGCAGAGGGGAAAAATCCTAGCGGTGAGGGGAAATGGAGAGCAGAGCATTGCTCCTTCACTCCTTCCTCGATTCTTGCAAGGTGGAACTCAAGTCCAAGCGCCACCCCCACCCTCATCCCCCACCACCTCTGTCGCTCTCCAAGTCCCCTCTTGCCAGGGCATTTGATTCAATTCACGCGCACTAGGAAAGGCGATTTAATAGTCCACCTCTTCCTTGCCTCCTATTAAAGTGTCTATAAGCAACCCGCAGTGTGCTTTAGCAAGGTTTCAGGTTCAAACCCTGAAGATCCCTTGGCGTTGCATGCTTTTGGTCCACACCCAGCAGTACCAGAACTGCATCCGCCGGTTGAGGCCAAGAGAAGCTGCCGGGTGAAGGGAGGCCAAAGAGGATGGAGAGTCGGGGGAGGGGGGTGGGGTGGCTGTGTACCAGATAGATTGTACCTGCCTCATCATTATCCTGGCTGACGGGGGCTGCCACATCGAAAATGGCCTGCAGCACCCACAGAGACCCAAGGACGTCACCTCCAACGGCCCCTCAGAAAGGCTGAGTCCTCCTTCAAAGGCTTCCCTCCTGCCAAAATATCTCCTTCTTCCTCTGGGTCCGTTCGGGCTGCAGAGTTTCCCCCTTCACTCTGCCACACAGCACTTTGGAGGTTTGGCTTGGGCGTGCTCTGTGGCGTTCTGGTTTTCTCGCGGTCTTCTGGCCCGCCCCTGCCCTCCCCCACTTCCCGCACTTGCTTCTCTCCCCCCCCCCCCTCCCCTCTCCGCTTTCCCCTCCCTTCCCGCCAGTCTCTCTGCCGGCCTAGTTCTAGGGGCTCATTCCTCAAGCTCCGGGTCCCGGGGCTCTACAGACTGCAACCAAAGAGGTGCTTTGGCTCCCGGGGAAGGAAGGAAGGAACGGGTTAAAAACACGTGTGGGCTGCTCCGCCGGCTGCTCCCCGGTCACTGGCAGCCTGGAGGGAGGAGGGGTCTGAGAGGGGCGAGCTTAAATATGAACAGTCAGGAGAAAAGGCAGCGGAGTTCGAGCCTCGGGATTTGTTCTGCAGCTGCGGCACACTGGCTGGCCGCCTCCCTTTGCCAGACCTGGGCGACGGCAGGAAGAGTGCATTGTTTCCACCTCAAGGGTGCAGGAGGGTCTGTGTCTGCCTGCGATCAACAGGCCTTGTAATATGAGAGGTGACACCTTAATCTTGCCAAATATGTGCGGTGTCTTGGGGCAGGGGAGGGCGGGGAATGGGGAAAGGAGAGGGGACCAGGCAAGAGCGGAGGGCAAAAGGTGCGCTTTCGCCGGGGGATCTGATTCACTTCCCACCCCGCCCCCCACCCCGAACCCGTGGAGAACGGTTGCCCTTTTCTTTAAGAAGTCCTATCTGAGGATTTCCTTCCTCTGGCAGACAGTCTGTCTTCTCCTCCCTTGTTTCTTTCCACTGAGGAGCTAGAGGGCCTTCCTTCCTTCCTTCCTTCAGTAAGACACTAAAGCCGCCTTGGACTTCTAGATGCTCAGATGTCCAAAGAGGATGCCGGGCAGAAAAAGAGACAAGATGCACTTGTTCACGGCAGATAAAAGACGGTCAGGGTTATAGCGACTTCTAGACAAACTCGGTAAAGTAGAGAGTTTTAGTTTTTTTATTTTGTAGAAAGACCAGAGGTAAGGGCGGTAGAGATAGCTAGAGTTAGGAGTACACCGGGCTAGAAGCAGTGGAGTGAGTATACTCTATAAAGAGAGCCTTGGCTTTGGTTAGTTAGGTAGTGATCTTTATAAGCAGACTCTCTGGCTTTGGCCGCCAATCTGTTGACTGTACCTTTGCGTCAGTGGGCTACCTTTTTCTCCCAATTGTATCTGAGGCCCTGGTTTCAGAAAGCAGTTTGTGGCGCAGTAACCGGGTTCGAATTTTGAAAACCCCCTTGAAACTCTCTCCAAAGGCGAATTCCTAGTGCTTTTGCCTTTGGCCTACCCTTATCTTTTGTAATAGCGCCACGGTGTGGTCGAAACGTTCAACAGACACAAAATGAGTGGAAATGAAAGTCTCCTGGAAAACTGCTTTTACTTCTGTTTCAAAACAGGTCAGTGGGGGTGGAAAGGGTCTCTTGTGCAGCAACAGTACATAGTTAATTCATAGTGAATGTTGGCCCAGGAAATGAGAAAACTGGCCCTGTGTGACTATATATGACAGAGATAAGCCTCATCCCGCAGCTAGCCAGCTAGCCTTGGCTCACATCCTAGCTAGCCTTCACTGCAGTTCCTCTACTTCCTTTGCATGGATAGCGGACCTGATCCTGAAACATCCGCACGTTGCTTCTGCTGCTGGAGGGTGCTAAGGCTGAGTAGCTGCAGCTCTTGCGCTTGCCTTTGGTCTCGCTCCCCACCTCCACTCATCCAGACAGCTGTTCCGGATAATGGAGCCAGGAAGTCTACGTTTCTAAAGCAAAGTGAATGTAGAAGGTGTTTGCACTAGGAATGGGGCTTAGGGTCAGGGGAGTTTGACGCATCGTGTTGTCTTGGCTCCTCCTGCAATGCACCGGGCTATCCCTTTGTTGCCCACTCCAAGCTAGTCTTCCAGATAGCCATGATTCAAAGATGCCCTGGAGTGTATGTGAGACATCATTTAGGGGGGGTTATTGTCTTTCTCCCCCAAATGAGGTCATTTGTCCTTGGAAGCTGGGTGATGTGTCTATGCTTATTCAGGAAGCTTAGCCCTCTCTAAGATGTCATCCCAGGAAAACACAACTTCACTCCCAAGAAGCAGCTCAGGTCTAATAGAGATATTAGAGGTGATATTCTGATGGAGGGATGGCTCAGCAGTTAAGAGCACTGGCTGCTCTTTCAGAGGACCCAGGTTCAATTCCCAGCACCCACATAACAGCTCAGAACTGTCTGTAACTCCAGTTCCTGAGCATCTGACATCCTCATACAAACCACATGCCGGCCAAACACCAATGCACATTAAGTCAACCAATCAGTCAATCAATCAATCATTTAGAGGTGATAGTCTAACATCTTCTCAGACTCCACCCTGCATGTAGTAACCAAAGAAACTGAGTTTCCCAGTTTTTCAGCTTCTCTTTTGGGGGGGGGGCAGAAAATATGCAAGCAAACAAAGGATTTCACCAGCAGACCAGGAAGCAGAATTTATTGAAAGGGTCAGTTTCCTGGCCCAACAAACCTGTGTTTCATGCTGTTCTCTCATCCTACAAGATGTGTTTTTGAACAGGTTTCCTAGCTGATCAAAACCCACTAGAACTGGAGAAATAGTGCCAATCTCACAGGTGCACTATGAAGCATAAACAAATCGAATAATTTAAAACTCACAGCACAGTGCCTGGTGTAGGGCAAGCCCCAGATCCAAATCCTACAGTCCTTGCTCTGACACCCTTTGTACCCCTCTGCTGAATGATACTGGTCTTTAGAAAGAAAAACTTCTTTTTTTTTTGGTTTGGGTTCCATCCGTATTTCATTAATATAATTGTGTGTGTGTTCTCACGAAGTCAGAAATGAGCAGAATGAAGTAGTGGTCACACTTAAAATTTACTTCATTTCCTAATGTAGTCCCTATGAAAGACATAGATGAAGTGGTTTTGTTTTGTTTTTTAAAATCTCATCTTATTCATTGGCTGCCTCTGGGGTGGCATCACCTCCCCATTCAGGAGGAAATTCCAGCACATCCACTGTTAACAGATCGCCTGCTGTATTACTTCCCTGTTGTTATCGCTAATTATGTGCTGGGGCTTATGCTGAACAATATAATGGATTACGTGGAACAACAATGAATCAACTCATTTTGTGAAATAGAATGCATATTTGTAATTAGGCTTCAAAAATAATTACCCGTAATGATAGAGTGAAGGTATGTATGCCTGCCACACAGGTGGATCTGGGAGTCATAATAAAGTCTCCTGTTTTGCTAGTCACGACATGAATTCCTAACCACCCTATAAATTAGCTTTATGCTGTACCAAACTCCACTCATTAAAAAAAAAAATAGCATTAAGGTTTCCTAGGTAACTAATGCATTTCCAAAGGGAATAGGTCTCAGGAGACAAAGAGGGCAGGGGAAAAGGTGGAGAAGGGGAAGAAAAGGAAAAAAAGTTAAAAAAAAAAAAGCATTAGATTAGATCCATGT